TTTGAACAAGGAAAGAACCAATATCAAACTCAAGCCACTTATGGTCTCGCTTCTGGGACCCAGCAACATAAGTGTAACGCGGGTGGTCTCTTTCTTGCCTTCCACTTGCAGCTAACTTGGAAAAAAAAAGACCCAGACTTTTGCAAGCGCTAACAAAGCAAACCTATTTGTGAGAGCAAATTGTCATGAGTCAATTTGAGTTTTTGACCAGACCTACATTGTTGGTATATTAATGTTTGGTTTTTAGTTTATTGCAGGCCCACCAGCGAAGCTCAAGATTCTAAAGTTTGCTCATTCTGAGGTAGGTATGGAAAACGCGTGTCTTGGACCCAGTGTTTCAGTGTTCCATCTTCAAATTTTGAACACTGAGTTCAATCTATCAATGAGCGAGTCCCAAACCCATTGAAAGAGCGTCCTATTGACGCTTGGAGCTTGGAGCCCCACGTGACATTGGATTAAGAGGCATAAGCACATTTCAACCATGACGTCTTTGACTCTTCCACAACACTTTCATGCACAACAATGTTGTGTATAAAGTCTTTTTCTCTCCTCAGTGAGTTAGGGCGTTTTCCATTTGTCAGAACTGGCCGACCAGCACATTCCCGTTGTATTGATAATTTTACTTTTAATCAAAGCTATCCAGCCAGATCAGTCAAATTCTAAATAGTATGCACGAAGGAAATCGTTCTTCCTCAAAAGCTCTTGGAAAAAGCCTATTTAATTTTCAAAATGACAGGTCCAGCCATGGTCTGGTCGGCCAGTTCTGACTTTTGGAAAGCACACGAAGTTAGAGTGCTTGTTGAGATTGCCTCGACCTCTGACTTGCGGTAGTGCGAAACAACATTGCTTGGGAAGCTTCCTATGCGTTATCAAGCCTGCTCTTGTACAAACTCGAGTTCATAATGTGATTTGTTTTACTTGTTTTACAGCCACTTTCAGTGTTTAACGATACCAAGATGCCATTTCCCCTTACTGTTCAACTGTGCGACAAGCTTAAAAACCCTTCAGATGAGCCTAATGTTAAGGTGGTCCTTAATACGGACAGAGGAATTAAGGTGAGAATCTCAGTTGTTGTTATTCAATTAAAATTTGACAGAGCCTTTAATTGTTTGGCCTCCTTTTAATAAAAGCAGTTTCAGTCGAACCTCCACTAATAGGGAGCTTAAGCAACTACGACCACGACGACGACAACATCAAAAAACAACAAGTTTAATGATCAAAACAACAGCTCTTCACGTGCATCATGCTTTTTAGTACATTTATTTGGCGTCCACTGCACGACTACGACGTGAAACCTCCTAATTTGACGTTTATGGAGGACGTGGACATAAGACGACTCTCTATAAGACGAACTCGTCCCTAAAAAGGGCATTAAATGCTGGCACACACTTGGTGCCGATCAAAAAACTATCCCTCGACTTTAAGAGCCCCAACCTTGGCATTTCTTAGGAACAACCTCTTCTTCAGTCATAGTTTAAGTCTGTAAAATAACTTGGAGTAACGTGTGTTTGAAAATCAGGGGAATGTATGGAATAAGAATCAAAGCCCTGCTTGGAAGAACTGCATTGGATGCGCCTACGATAAGCGTGAGGTAAGTTCTGTGAAGTAGGTTAACGCTCATTTCACAGCAACTCAGTGACTTGGTCAAGAGCTCTGATTTATGAGAGTTTAGACCTGTTTCGTTTAGACGAAATGACGTCAAAATGTGTAAAACTTTAGTGGAACTGCGAACTGTACTCCAGTTGTTTCACTGGAGCGTATTAAAGATTTTCACGTTATGTCTGTGGTCTGTAAGGATAACGACAATGGAAAATTGTTGTTTATTCGCCAAAATTTTCAGTATTTTGTATCAACAGCGATGTTGAACGTCGCATTTAAAGCAAAAGGAAACGGCAGAGTTCATGACCGACTTTCGCGCTATAAATGGGCTAGCTAGTACATCGCTTAGGAGTGAATATGTTACATTCGTTAGCGCAAGCGTTGGAAGAAGTCGGACGCGTCAAAGCTACCTGCGAATTGGTGCTTTTGATACTGTAATTTCCTGTGGTAGCTACCCGCCATGACTAGCTGTAGCTATTTGCGGGTAGTTACATCTGCACTGTCATAAAGTCATTGTTGTAGCTGTTATATGTTTTGCATTTCAGAGTGGAGCCTGACCCATCAAAGGCTGTAAATCTTAACGTCACGTTTGATTCTAATGCACCGTGTGTCGTTGGAGAGTTGTTACCAAGTAAGTGAGACCATTAGATTGCCAGTAGTCTGGTAGGACTGTTGCGCGGGCAAGTGTATCCCAAGCAAGCAAACGGGTTTCCAGTTTTGCCGTCAAAACTTGGGCTTTCCATAGGCTGGATTTCCGGCGCTATCTCGGGTCCGGTCGAGGTCGCAAGCTCATTAGGGAGCTTAAGCAACGACGACGGCGACATCAACGAGAACGGTAAAAAACAATAAGGTTTACATTGGCAAAACAACAACATTGCGCGTGCGTCACGTTTTTTTTTGTACATTTCTTTGCCGTCGTTGCACGATTACGACGTGAAACTTCCTAATTTTACGTGAACACAAGACACCGATTTTTTTTTTCTTTCGTGAACTCAGACACAGCGCTTTAGAATTCAACTCTTAAAAAAAACATAGCCATCATTTGACAAATTAAATGGTTGGGATAAGAGCAATGAAGTTTGAAACAGCGCGAATTCACTTTTTGGGTGACGTTTTTTCCATCGTTGCCGTCGTCGTTGCTTAAGCTCCCTAGTTACCGAACAGCGGCTGATAATCGAGTCTAGACTACGAGTAGTTCCCAATTTTCCTCAGGGATAGAAGAGCGAGCTAAACGCGAGCGCGTGAAAATCACCCCACGCGAGAAAAGCGAGACGGGGCTACTGATGGGTTAGGACCGCATTGCATGTCAAATACTTTGTCTAGTTACTCTGCATCTTAACCATTTAATCCCCAAGAGTGACCAAAATCCATTTTCTCCAAACAATATCAGCACGTAATCAAGAGGAACGGTTATGAGAAATGATAAAATGATCAACTAAGGAAAAATGCTGTGATTTTTTCTCCACTTTCAGCAGCATATGACTGATATTAGCTATAGGGAATTCTCATCTAAAACGGGAGGTGATATGCAAGGACTTGTTCCATTTGCACCCTCTGGGATTCCAGACCTACATGGTGGCAATTCTCCGAACTAAGTCTTAAGGGAAATGTGTGGAGATTAGTATGGAGAATTTGTGGGTGGATATCGAGGCTTAAATACACTTGGCTATGTCGTTCTATGCATTGCGCTCAGCATTGTGTGACCAAATTCCAGGTGTTTGGAGATCTATAGGATCTCACTTTAACCTGAATCTGAGTTCTAACCATACAAATTCAACTTTAAAGCAGTTTGGCCACGTTAGCCCATTGATGTCTTGAACACTTTTATCTAAAAATTTGATTGACTCATTCCATGGGTGGGCTGCAGGTTGGGGAATGTTTTGTCCCTCAAACTAACCTACTGTCCTGCGTTTCAGCTGTTTCAGCCCATGTCGTTGGAGAGGACGAGGCTGTAATGAAAGCAGCAAGTGCTAAGGACATAGTGTTGAAGATATGGCACTCTAAGGACGGTCCAGTATCAGACAAGCCGCCAGCCAGGGTATGTTATACTAGCCTGTTTTCTTTCACATCACATAGTAACTGGGTTTCACAATACATACACTGTAAGTGTCAATATTCTTAGGCACTAACTAGCCGAGAGCTATTTTCCAGGGCTGTCACCAAGATTTCAAGTTGACGTTATATGCAATCAGTAGGCGGGAAATTGAACTTCAAGGAAATCGTTATGTCCTATTTTCCTTTTGTTTCGTATGGGAAGTGCCGGATCCAGACCTTGAGATGGGGGGGGGGGGGGTGGTTGTGGTCATCAGACCCTTAGATAAGAGGGGGGGCGGTCTCCCAAAAAGTTTTTTTCGACCCTTCGCGCCTCAGTTTGGTCCAAAAATATGGGAAGGGCGGAGGTTGGGAGTTGGGGGGTGGTCGGGCCCCCGGGTCCCTCCCCTGGATCCACCACTGCCGGGGATAATGTTTATAGTATCCGAAGAAAATCCCCTGCACTTTCCTCTTAGCATATCCACATCAGAAGGGATTGGTTACGATTCAGAAGTGGTAAAATGACTGGCCTATTGTTGATAACCTAAACTGTTATCGTACTGAGGTCACAACGGTGTAGCATAATGCCGCTATTAATTGAAACCACCAAGGCTTAACATTTCACTTATATTGTAATTTTGTTAAGGCCACAACGTTGTACCCATCAAAGCGGAAGTTAACGGATAAAGATGGAGAATTCTACTTCAGGTAATAATAATAAGAAGAATACGAATAAATATGATAATATAATATGTATATTGCGCATATACAATGGAATGCGCATTACAAACGGTGAAATAAAAATAAGTCGATTAAAAGCTATCTTAAAAAAGTACGTTTTGAGGGCTGTCTTAAAAGATGTAAGGCTCTGAATTTTTCTTATCTACGCCGGAAGACTGTTTCACAGTTTGGGAGCTGCCGACTCAAAGGCTCGGTCGCCAAGTCAGTTGGTAGACACAGTGCGTTGGCCGGTACCAACAAAGTCGCATTCTTGGACCTAAGGGTGCTTTCCATTTGTCAGAACTGACCGGCCAGACCATTCCCGTCGTAATGACAATTTCACTTTTAATCAAAAATATCCAGCTAGATATAGTTTGCACGAAGGAGATGGTTTTTCAGCCAAAACTCTTGGAAAAAGCTTATTGCTTTGTCAAAATGACTGGTCCGGCCATGGTCCAGCCGGTCGGTTCTGACTTTTGGAAAGCGCCCTAAGATTATTTATATCTTGACTGGGCAGCGACCGCAATAATATCAACTGAAGTATGGTTGATTGAGTAGTTTTCAAAGGAAGCAGTGCAATTTTTTTTCGTGAATTCTCTTATAACCATATATTGTAAACTGCACTCACTAGGGACCTCAAAGTACCAGATATGTCAGGTGGCTATTGTATGGTAGTGCAGTTTGGATCTGCAGGAGCAGCCACACTCTCTAGTAAACCGGTGAGAGCATTGTTTGTTTTACGTGGAGTCTTCATTACTAGTTACTTCTTGCACAAACCCTTATTCTATTAGTAATAACATTACTTTGAAGAGAACTTGAATTTTTATTTGTAAATTTCTATTTGTTGTCTGCAACGTTAGGAAGAGCTACCTTCAGCGAAACACACCGAATACCACCTCGTGGTCTTTTTGTTGTCTGCAACGTAAGGAAGAGCTAACTTGAGCACAACACACCAAATACCAATCTGGCATCAGCTTACGACAGTCGTTTCCGATTAGTACAGTAGCTCTTCCAGACCTCTATTTTGATTGGCCCTAATAATCAGTAGCTTCTCTTGTTTTAGAGCTAGGGGTATTGTTTGTGTTGAATCATCTGTTGTTTCGTTCTGCAATCACAGACCATGTCTGAAAAGCTACTGACCTTCTTCCCTTCCATTGCACCTTAAACCTGTTCACTTACGAAGAAGCACTTCCGATTAGCGGCATATTTTACAGAAGATTCATTTCATTTCTGTACAAGTTAATCAGTTTTATTACCTGTAAAAGAATATGTGGAGGAGAGTTGTGTTTAGAAATGCATACTACCCAGCGTTCGAAGAGTTCGTTGGCCTCGTCAGCTAAATACCTTCCCGATTCTTAATGATAGTGAGAGCCAACTATGTTCGTTAACATAGAGTTTCACTTACTCCCTCTTGCAGATCACATTCACAGCAAAGGCTGGTCTCCCTGTGAAGCTTGAACCGGAGACGATGCCTGCGACTCCTACTGTTTCCAACACTCAAAGGACCAACAGCCGAACCCTGGTGAAGACACTCAAGTTACAACTTAAGGTACTAATATTTACTGTTTTTGGCTGTGTTCTCTCCTCATTGTAATGCAAAAATGGTCCCACATCTTCTGTTACCAGTTACCAGTTCTTTGCGACGTCGTGCGTATAATTGTAGGCCAGCGTTGGTGAGCATTAACTCTGTAGAGAAACTGGTTTGTGTAAACTTTGGGAAAAGAGTTGCAAAGTTGGTTGCCTGCAAAGATTTCGTCCGTAGTTTACTAGTCATGATTTTATCAGCACTGCTACTTTGAAGATGAGTAGCAAATCGCTGAAAATGAGCAAAAGAAAAGAAAAAAATGAACAACAAAAGGATGAGTCCATTGACGGCGTCAGTGAAGCGTATCACGAAGGCGATGACGATTATGTCACCAAGAAGGACGTTTACAAAGTGATGAAAGTGCAAGAGTCGATGTCTCGTAATTTGTTTGAATCCATGTTGACCAGTGTTAACAATAGAAGTGATGGTGTGATCAAAGACCTGACAGAATTGAAATCAAGTATTCGTATCACCACAATCTTCTGTCTAGTAGCTTTCGCAACCTCTTTTTAAGTAATAGTCAGGTTCACCATTATGAAACTCAACTAGCCTTTCAGCATAGACCTCATTTCTGTAGAACTAATATCAAGCAGTTCAGTATCCTTTATCGAGGACCAACAATCTGGAATTCGTTGCCAATTTCACTAACCAGCTCCTCTTCCATATTTCCATATAAGTTTTTTGTTTGTTTGTTTGTTTGTTTGTTTGTTTATGTTTTGGATTTAACATAACGAACGTAGGGCACTTTTCTCTTTTCTGATCTGAAACCAACTAATGTTGCAGCTCTCGTTAGTTGCTGATCTCTAAACAACGTTAAAAAACCCTCAGCATGCATAATTAAAGGTCCATTTCAATATTCAAGATTGCTTGATACACATTTGTTGAAGAACAGCTCAAACATTTGTTGATCAGCAAAGTGGCCTTAGGCAGCCTTGAGACAAGATTGCTCACTCTGCTGTTTGTTTTAGGACAAATTTGATAACCTGACTGGTGAGAATCTGAAAGGAAAGGTGGTTGTCAAAGTAACAACACCATCAGAAGGCATTGACGAGATCCCTGCTCTGACTGGAAATGTGTACTCCTTGGAGGTACCCCTGGTCAAGGGTGTGGCCACTGTACAGAACCTCCTTATTCAAGAGAACACTGCAGGCAAAGACGGACAGGAATACCTGCTGAACTTTCACACTCAGATTCCACCTAATTCTTCGCCTCATCCTATTCCCGTGTTTACATTGGCATTCTTGTTTTACAATGGCAAGTACCCTTCGGTTTCATGTAGTGCTGACTTTCTTCTTCATGATTAAGGGCCTGTTTACATTGAGGCGGGGGACCCCAGGTAGGTGAGGTAACCTGCTTAGGTGGGGTAACCCGCCTGTCCATATAATCTCTCATTTTAATTTGATCACGTTTACATGATAAGTGGGGTGACCCGCCGCATGTTACCTCACCTATCTGGGATCTCCTACCTCCATGTAAACAGGCCTTAACTTAAAGAATATCCGATAATGTGCTTGTTCGTTGTGTGACTTTTTTTGTTTTAAAATAGCAAATACACTGCGGTTTTCTGTGGTGCTAATTTTCCCATCCCTTATAAATATTAACATAAAATAACAAGTGCCCGTTCTTTCTGCGCAGGCTTGTCACTAAGATTTCAAGTTACCGGGTAAATACAACAAGTAGGCGGGAAATCAAACAGCTAGGAATTTCGTTTGGTTCTATTTTTCTTCTCTTTTCCAATGAACGTAGCTGCGGGCCACATTCATAGCAGCTGGGGGAAATCCCCGGCCGCTGGCTCTTAGTGGCAGCCCAGCTGCGACCTGGTTTTGTTTACAGTGGCAGGTACACTTCGGTTTCCTGTAAAAAAAGAAAAAACTATTAAATTCCTATTTCCCTCTTCTTGATTAACTTTAAAAAAACTTCTTTTTGTTTGTTCAACCTTTTGTTTTAGAATGGCAAGTACACTTCGGTTCTTATAAAGAAGTGTCTAATTTCCACTCATTGATCAACGTATCTGCTTATTCGTCGTTTGACCTCTCTAAATCACTTCCTTTTACTTGCTTTCCACCTTGTTAGGTATTTTGTTAACTAACACAACATATTTCATAAACAGTACTATACTTTTTTGCTTTTAGATGTGAGGAAACAGCAACAGGTGGCTCAGCTGACAAAAGAAAGAGATCACTTATTTGAGACGATACGCACCTACCAGCTTCTTTTCGAAACTACGCGACAACTCATTAACGAGATGCAAGGTTGGTGGCTTATTTTTGGTTCTTTGTAGTCGACCACATTAACATTCGCCCACAGAGGGAGTGAGACGCAATAATTTTGTCTTATCCTTAAAGTCTCGAGAGTAACTAACATCAATTTTCTCCTAACAATATCCATGCACAATCAAAAGAAAAGGTTATGAGAAATAATAAAATGATCATCAAAATAAAAATGCTTTGATTTTTATCAAATTATCTCAACTAATTCTGTAAGGAAATATATGGAGATCTGTAGAGAGAATTCTTATGTGGATATTGGGACTTAAAAGATTACTCATTAAGTCAATGTTCCTCCATAAAAAGATTCAAAAGCTGACGCATTAAGTGCTAGCCCGTCATAAGAGCGAATTGAAACTTGATAACACCAGCTTTTTTTAAAGATTTGAACAACCAATTTTATAATTGAACCATAACCTTTATTTTTGTACTTTACAGTGTCAGTGCATGAAGCTTCTTTACAAGAACAGAAGCTGAGAGGAGAACTCAGAAAACAAAACATCCCTGCAAGCAGCTTAGCATCGGTAAGGAGTAATCCTGGTACAGGATCGAGCCACCCTAAGGGAGTAGTTAGAGTACCAAGCTCAAGTCAAGAGGTCGCTGGTTTCGGTTTAACCAGAGGTCCCCTCTTTTCCACAGAGGCCCAGCGGAGAGTAGAACACAGGGGAGAAAACGTACGTGGTGTATGCTGGGAAGGGGAAGAGAGGAAGCGAGGTTTCCGCCATTTTTCTTTCCTTCGTTCACACGACAGCACTTTCGAGTTATAAAAGAAGTTATGTTCTTGTCGTCGGAGCTTCTGTTAGGGAAATATGAGGTGCATATGTAGCCACACGGCACTGGCTGGTTTTGATTAAAGTTGGATCTGAGTTCAACTCCTTGGCCATGCCTGTTGGTGCCTCTGAAGCTTTTACGTTTACTTTCGTTTTCTTATTTAGACGAAGTGCTAGAAAGTTGTGGATGATGCCTCATTTTGTTACCGTGCATACGTCACACGTTTTGCATATTACCGGAAGGTCTCATTTTGTAAAAATCAATTCGCACCATAGATTAGTATTGTTAAATATCCGTTTCATTTGAATGGTCACATCATAGCTCTGGGAGAAAAGGTTAATCTACTAGAGAGCTTTAGATTTGAGGAGGAGAACGAGTATGAGTATGAGATTTAACATAAAGTTTCAAAATCTAAGCCCTCTACTGCTTGTTTGTTCTTAGCCATCAGCTGTGACTACATTGATAGATGAAATGTCAAAGAAGAGAGATCAGATCGCTATTACTCCTCGCCGACAGTGTCTACTTCACCCTGGACCCCGTGGAGACTCTGGTATTCTGGGAAAGGTTTGTTCAGTTTACTTTTCGATGAGTTCACACTATGCTTTAGTCTGACAATTTTTTTCCCTTTTTCTAAAGCCATAGCAAAGAGTGATTTATAATAACCGTTATGCATGTTTACGTTAGACGAGTATATTTTATCACCCAGCCTCGTTTTGAAGTTGAAAAGTTGCCAAGTTGTGCATAAATGAATTCCCAGGGCAGAAAAGAATATTCACGCCCAAAGGGTGCAAATGCAAACAGTTTTGTTTACAAACGAGGTTTGGTGAAATTTGCTCGACTGACGTAATTATGCAACTTCAAATCTTAGTGACAGCCCTGATCTCGGTAATGAAGACTCTTGGCTCTACCTCGTCGATATACTTTTGTTGCGTGTTAGCGCTAACGCTGTTCTCTGTTCCCCCTGCAGGTAGCTCATTTAGCTCAAGTGGTAGATGACGACGTTGCGCGAGTACTGTCGTGGCACATGGCATCCGATATGGACTGTGTCGTTACTCTCACGACAGAAAAGGTTCGTCCTTAGACTTTCAAAAAAGTCCTTTTTCCGATTTAATATGGCGCGGGACGAAGGTCGACCTTTTCGCGACTTCGTCGTACGCTTGGTCGCTTAAGAGACACTCGTGCTGTCGACTTCTAGCAAGTCTAGTTCGTTCCCTAAACCTCGTGTTTTGCCTGCTGTGCTTTTCGCTCATCATAAATTCTCTCCCCTTTTGGATAGCTAGCATGTACGTAAGTTATGCTGTTCCGCTCTATCCTATTCTACTAGACCTGTCGTTTTGTGCTCTGTAGGGTGTATTTTTTATTGCTGACAAGCGTTTGCGAGGTAGCAATACTATTGTTTGTGTAGCGAAAAAATTCAATTTTGTAGTATTCTTTGTGTAGCGGCAAATTCAATTTGTGTCGAATGTAAGATCACTCGCAAACACACTTGGTCATGACTATCTTAGAGGTCTTCTTATATGACGTAGTATATCCGCACAGCGCTCGATTGAATGTTCAAGTTCCTGACAAACGGACAATCTTGCCTGTTTAAACTGTCGAATTCTTTTTCTTTTCCTCCGGTATTAATAAAATCAATCGAGTTAAAGCCTTCCGTGTTACCTCAGGAATGAACCGTAACTTAAGTATTTGCCTTACTGGTCGAAAGCACACTGATTTCATGAGCGACTGTTTTACATCAACGGGCAAAGTCAACGACTAATATTTTGGCACAAAACTGTAAATTCCTCTGCTGCTTATTTCCTGGTAATAATTATTACTGTCTCACTTCCATGACCTCCACACAAGTCCTTTTGTAGCTCTCTAAAATAACCAGTAACATTTATCTAGTTTTTTGTCCCTTTTTGAATAACACGGGTGACTGTTTATTTTCAGGCAAAACAAGTGTATCGCGACTCTAATGGCCAGCAACAAGTGCTACCCTTGGATTCTATCTTCAGACGTAGTTTACCAGAATGGAATAGGTACAGACCAAATTAAACCCAGTTATCATAGAAGCTGTGTCTCTCAGGAGTTTTCAAACCCAAACCTGCTTAACAATTTTACACCATAAATCCTCTATTAAGACCCCCCCCCCCCTCTCTCAAATAAGCCCCCTCTCACTAATAGGCCTCTCCTTTTCAGAGAAAGAAAGTTAATAAGCCCCCTTCTCTTTAAGCCTCCATCCCCTCCCCTCCGCTTATTATTCTTCATTATTTTAATGATAGACTGTATTAATCAGTCAGGACAGTAAAACATCGTGTGGACTGATCCAGGACGGTTTATTTACCAACTAGAAGTTCGGAATTGTTATCGATTTTCGGCTGCATGACTCCAACGTCTTGTACTGGAACTTTTCCTCTTTGTATTCTAGTTCTTTATGGTGAACTGATACCATCGTTTCTTCTTAATTAGATAACCCTCCCTCTCTCTAACCCCTCCCCCACCTCAAATGGGCTTGAAATAAATAAGCCCCCCAAGGGGCTTTAATTGAAGATTTACGGTAAGTTGGTTTTTTTAACCCAAAGAAAATTCAGGGAGTGCTCAAGTAGTGCTGATCAAGTCTATAAAATTTCCTGCCCGGTTTTATGAGTTACTCTACTACATTAAAATGTACTATACTATTATCTGCAGGTTCAACCTGGCTTACACTCTCATTCATTCGCGTAGTCAGTTGTGATGTCATATAATGGTGATCTATCTTTTGAATCTGTAGGCGAATTCATATAGAACCCTCTATTTCGGTAGGACCCTATGCGTGATTTTTCTTTCCTGAATTTGTGAAAATTAGGCTATTAACCCCCAGTGCATTAGAAAAAGTTAGCAATGCTTGCAGACATGTCAGCAGTGGCCTGTGAATATGCTAGTGAGCACGCTCAAGAATTTTCCAGTGGCCTCAGAGTTTTAAGCCTTTAGCGTAGCTTAGCAATGAGTAGCCATTAATAGTGACTGTTAATTTTAGAGCTCTTCCACATATACGAGGTCAGGGCAGTTACAATCCGTCTGGTAACCCTGTGTACGCAAGAGATATGTTGATGTTTCCAACAGAGGCGGAAAATTTAGATGATTCTAGCTTTTCTCTTGCGCTATATGAACTACAGAATGGTCCTGTTCACTTTGATCCCGATAGATTTTCTAGCTTACGTTACAATCCAATTTTTTCAAACTCAAACGCTTCTTTGACACTGTCTGGCAGTCTTGATCCTGACATTAATTTTCATGCAGTTGAG